TCCTGGGTATATTTTTGAGCTAAGTGTTTCTTTCTTGGTTTCTGTGGGGTCTGAATTCTGCTGAACTTTATCCCCTGGAGGAAGCAAATATACCTTTTGTTCATAAATGAAAATGGGTGTGATAGGCAAAGAACCCCCAACTTTTAAATGTAAGTAATTTAATTCTTTGGTGCGATGGGATGAGATAGTGGCCCAGGGTCTGGCCTGGGAAAGTGTTTAGTGTTTAGGTCACACAGTTATAGGCCTGGTGAACCGTACTACAGTTCTCCATTCTGTAAAGATATAACCATAATAAACCATTACTGTAAGAATTCATTTTTCAAAAAAATTTGTTTTTCAAAATGCGTCTTGATGAAGTGGGTCTTTGCCCACGAAAGCTTATGCTGCAGTACATCTGTTAGTCTATAAGGTGCCACAGGACTCCTTGTCGTGTTTCAAAATGTAATTAATTGATCTTTTGAAAAATTATTCCTTGCATCAAGCACTCATAGCAATAAGGAATAGTTCTCGTGTATAGCCAGCTGTACAGTGGTTGGCTGTCTGTGTGTAAAGGATTTGCTGTATAATAAAAATTACTGTGTACAGCTGTTGGTGGCACTTATCTGATAAGAGAGTCATACGATGAACAATCTGCCTGAAAGAGCTGAAAGGCACAGCAATTCTATAGTGAAACTTCAAACCAGATGATGCTCTGATTAGAGGCACCCACAGAGATTACACAGGTATAATAAATCATTTGAGATTTTAGCTTCAAATAACATAAAAGAATGCAGTTTTTATTAGAAAATAAACTGTTTATCAAGAACATTTTGAAGGTGACATTTATAACTCATAAACCATCTTGGAATGGTTAGTCAGATTACTTCATTGGCAGAACACTCAGAGACTTTGTTCTGAAAAAGAATTAAGGCAGGCCATGAAATAGCCATTGTTATTGAGCAAGAATGCACAGCTTGTTTATACCTATTTCTTTTTTCAAATAAAAACATTTCATATTTTTTTTAAAGTGGTGATTTATAGAACTGTAACAGTGGTGTTACTAAGGATTAAATACAATTCTCAGCACAACTGACTAGTATAATATGGAGTGACTGTAACTGCCACAGAGCAGGTTTGAACCTGGGAGACTTAGTGTAGGAGCCTCTACAGCTTGAGCTATAAAGCCAGCTGCCTCTCAGTTTAAGCTGTAGAGCTCCCTTATTCTTATCTCTCCCTGTAAGCGGTCTAAGTGCCACTGCATGAGACAGCGAACCACATTAAGGCTATGTCTACACTGCACCTCTCTTGCGCAAAAGCGTATGCAAATGAAGTATGGATTAGCATATTGCCATGCTTAATTTGCATAATTAATTAGGGGCCGTTTTTGCACAAGAGACTTTTGCGCAAAAAGGAACGGTGTAGACTGCTCCTTTTTGCACAAAAACCCCTCTTGTGCAAGAGAAGTTCTTCCTCATCTTTTCAGGAAGAATAGCTCTTGCACAAGAGGGGAGGTTTGTGCAGAAAGGAGCCATCTACACAGCTCCTTTTTGGGCAAAAGCCTCTTGTGCAAAAACGGCCCCTAGTTAGCAATATGCTAATCCACACTTCATTTGCATAGGCTTTTGCACAAGAGAAGTGCAGTGTAGACATAGCCTAGGTGTGTGGGTTACATGGCAACAATACATTCAATTAATGAAACAAAACAGAGAAGTGTAAAACCTTCAGAAAAAATTCTCCTCATGGTAGCGAGTGATACTGAGGCAAAACTTGCTTGCTAAGCAATGTTTGGGTCATGCTGATTAACCTGTCATGCTTGTTGCATGCACATAATTTTTAGTATTAATTTTATTAATCCAGAGTGCACCTAACATCATGGCTCATTTAAACAAATATCAATCTATGAGTGCCTGCAATGGGCAGCAGTACTAACCCTTTCTCCATAAAGCATCAACCCATAAGGAAAGAGTTCAGAATAATAGGTAAAGACTGTGCCTTAGTTTAGACCTTTCTGGTAAAGAATTTGCCAAAAAGAGCAACCTTCAACCACCCTTTGAAGTCTAACTCTCTCAGACTTGAATGATGAAGGAACTGCTTACTTAGAAGGTGCTCTTCCAATTCTATATCCACATCTCCTTACTAAAACAAACTAACTAATTTGGTAAATGTAGAGAGAGGACAAAAAGCTGAGTGGAAGACAACTTGTGTGAAGGTACGTTTACACTGCAGCGTTAATTCGAGTTAACTTAATTCAAAATAGTTAAATTAAGCTAATTCAAATTAGTGCATCTACACACAAAACCTATTTCGAAATAGCGTTTTGCTGTTTCAAAATAGTGCGTCCACACTGAGTGGACCCTGAACCGAAGTTAAGGCTGGCCAGAACCAGTGCTGGCAGGGCATCAGGTTAGGACTTAGTGTGTGGGGCTGCTGCCTGAGTCTAACTGAGCTCCATGCTTAAAGGGACCCTACCCCCACCCGGACAGATAGTTCTCAGGATTCCGCACTTGCTTGTCTACCTCGTTGAGGGACAGCAAAGCAGTTCTGCCCTGGAGTGCCCTGAGTGCCCGAACTCGGGACACCACAGCACTTGGCCACATGGAGTCAGAGCTGCCCCTGGGCACGCCAGTGCTTCTTGTGGGGTCGTTGCCATCAGCCCGGCTGCACTTGCTGCAGGCTGCCACCCGGGGGGTCAGTCGGGGGGCTGTCAGGATCCAGGAGGCCCTGCAGGAGAACGTCCATCCTAAGGAGCGCCCAGAGCCACCCCAGTCCTTGCTCAGCTGCACTTGCTGCAGGCTGCCACCCGGGGGGTCAGTCGGGGGGCTGTCAGGATCCAGGAGGCCCTGCAGGAGAACGTCCATCCTAAGGAGCGCCCAGAGCCCCCCGGTCCTCCCCACTGGGGGCTCGTGATCTGTTCCTCCCTCACGTCCTTCTACTTACCCTTCCCTAGCCCCCCTTCCTGATGTCAAACAAAAGATACATATGTTCAAAAATAGAAACTGGATTTATTGAACAAAACTGGGGGTGGCTGGATGAACCTCTGGGGAGACTGGGAAAAAGAGGTGGGAGAGGGG